AAAGTTGGACATCTTATAGCTTAGAATTTATTTGTTATATATTTATTTATTTACTTATTTTCTAACCACAAACCCTGAGACCCATGTGCAGTTCCGTTCCAGTGGACAAAAGATGCTTAAGTGCCTTGAGAGTGCTAATCCAAAATTAGCTGTTTCACCATAAATGCATCACAGCTTCCTTTGAACACTTTTTCTTTTCACCCCTCTTCCTCAAATAGCCTGAATCCACCACTAATTCAGTGTCATGTAATACAATGTGTTTGACATTAGCCTATCCAACAATCAATAAGTGAATGGTTGGTCAACCTTGTAAAAAGTTAAAGCTGCATAATTGTATCTCATTTGTGTATTTATTGGCATCTAAGCAGCATACAAACTCTAAAAACTGAAAATCACACCTTGTGATGTTTCGGCAGAGTTTGGTTTCTCTGTGGGTTTGTCACTACAAGTTACCCCTTTCACATTAGACACAGTCAGATTGATTCTAGGGTAATATAACACATATTGAGTACTCACTACTCACTACTCACTACTTCCTTTATCTGTGGCTGGCCGAATAAACTCAGTAAAGATGAATATTTTACCCAATTTTTCTTTCTTATTTCAATGTATCCCAATCTTTATTCCAAAATCATTCTTCAGGAAACTTGAAGGGGCTATTTCGGCATTTATCTGGAACAACAGGACCCAGAGAATCTGTAATATATTTCTTCAGAGGGCAAATGCTGGGGGGAATGGCCTTATCTAATTTGAACAATTTTTTTAATTTTTTAAGTTATTTTTTTGGCCTTTTCATGCCATGAAACGCAGCAAAGGGCCACAGGTCATATTTGAACCCGGGCCGCAGCAGCAACTCCGTATATGGGTTGCCAGCTCTACTGACTGAGCTTACTGGGCGCCCCAAATTTGCACTATTACTATTGGGCAACCAACGTCCTTATACTCCACTACTGGCTGTGTGCTGACAGTTCACACAATGCCCCAGCGTGGTTGAGATTGGAGGCGGCCTCTTGTTCGCTGTGTTCACTGACAGCTCTGGTTTACACATCTAATGGTTCAATCTGCACAGAATACTGTAAAAATATCATAGTTAAGACTACTCTCAAGATGTGGAACCAGTTTAGACGCCATTTTGGGCTCGACTCCTTTTCAATGCAGGCCCCCGTAAGTAAAAATCACACTTTCAAGCCCTTGCTGAGAGATGGAGCATTCACCCTGTGGTCTAATCATGGCATAAAATCTTTTAATGACTTATATATTGAGGGCGTCTTTGCCTCCTTCCCCCAGATTATGGCTAAATATAAGATTCCAACATAGTGAATAAACAGTAGCAGTAAAGATCCTCTGGCTGCCATCAGGAACGGGTCGCTTTTCCCCCAACTCTCAGTGGTGTTGAGAAATGTGGTTTCGCAGATTGGTTGTATTTTCAAAGTATTTAATTTGACTTCTACACACCTTACACACTGTGTAGGTCTTGTCCATTTTCCCATCGACCTCATAGAACCCAAAATGCTGCCATATCGCAGCTTTTAAAGAAGCTGGTGCAGGCCGCATAGGTTTGTCGCTCGCAGCCATTTTGTCGCCACTAAACTTTGGATGTAAGCAACTCGTACATGTGTTTGGTGCGCATGCATGTTGGCGGAGAACCAGCAGGCAGAAAGGAGAGTTTTCTGTAGCGCTCTGCAGCAGGCGAACAGAATTGTTATGGTTTGGCTTAGTATGTCTTTGTTGTTGTGCTTTTCTTTTTGTCCTCTCGGTTCCCCCTCCCTTTTCTGTTCTCCTGCAGAGCTTGTGTGGGGCAGGGGGTGTGGCTGGCTCCTCCTGTTGGCAGCAGAGGTATTGAGCCTATTCCCTCCACCTCATTAGCCTGGTCTTCACTCCTGCTTGTTTCCAGAATATTCCATGCTCTCACGCAGCATGCTGTTCTTCTACGTTACCTGTGTCAAGATTCGCCAGTGCAGTTCTGCAGAAGACTTCCACCTGCCCGCTTCTGTTCTGGTTTTGGTTCAGATTGTTATTAAAGAATCGTCAGTTCCCACTTCCCAGTGTGTGTGCGTCTCTGCTTTGGAGACCAAGACTTAAAGAACTCAACAAGAATGTTGCAGCATGCAAACTAATTTAATTTCTAAAATTCCGATTATTAACTTATCTGCATCAAGACAGAATCGTTCTAGAGAGAATTGCGATGCACCGAATAATCGATTATTTTTCCCACCCCTACCAACCAGCAACCAGTGTAAGTTAATACGCCACACTTACTGGACAAAACTCAGGCTTTCGAAAATATATCCCGACATTGATCCTGTTTGTTACAGGTGTAAACTAGCTCCAGCCTCTCTTATTCATATGTTTTGGTCGTGCCCGTCTCTCCAGAGTTACTGGTCACATATTTTTGGGACACTATCATGGGTTCTTGACCTTGGACCCAAATGTATTGATAGGCCTCTTTGGAGTCATGCCAACCACAGTGACCCTGCAAAGGCTCAAACTAGATTTTGTAGCCTTCCTAATGTTACTGGCAAGACAATTGATCTTACTTCGCTGGAAGTCTCTATAATAAGTGATGAAGACCATGTTCTGTTCGTTGTATGTATCTGTTTTATATTTTTGTGTAAGTGCAGTTAATATATGCGTGTGTGTGGATGTATGTATGCGTATATATGTATCCATGCACATACTTGAACTCGTCTTACTTTTATACATGCTTCATTGTCCCTTTTTTTTCGCCCAATACACAAATGCACTGAAAATTGTTGTTTTTCAAAAAATGCTAATAAAAAGAGTTTTGGGGGAAAAAAAAAGGCACTCCTGTAAAGAATAGGAATTACTCTTCCAAAATGCATTTAATGACATCAAACTGCCATATGCTCATATATCATTTGTAGACATTTTTTCTTATTTACCAATTGTGCTTCAAATATAGGAGGAAAAAAACTCTCTCTCTTGCTGTCCCACCTTAAAGCCATCACCAACCCACTCCTGGACCTCTTGCACTTTGCCTACAGAGTCTGTAGCTGATGCACTTCATCGTACATCATCTGCACTGCCCAGGAGCCTATGTCAGTTTGTTGACTTCAGTTCTGCTTTCAACACCATCATCCCAGCTCTGCTACAAGATAAGCTCTCCCAGCTCACTTTGACTGACTCCACCTGTGGGTGGATCACAAACTTCCTGTCTGACAAGAAGCAGCACATGAAGCTGGGGAAACATGTGAGTCCTGGACAATCAGCACTGGATCCCCCTCAAGGCTGTGTTCTTTCCCTTCTGCTTTTCTCCCTGTACACCAACAGCTGCACCTCATGTCAACAGTCTGTCAGGCTCCTGAAGTTTGCAGATGACACCACCCTCACTGGGCTCATCTCTGGTTGATACCTACAGGTGGGACATTGACTATCTGTTCTCCTGGTGCAGTCAGAATAACCTGGAGCTCAACAGTCTATCATTCGCACCACTGAGAAGGCGACTGGGTCCAGTTTACCATCCCTCCCGGACCTGCACACCTCCAGGTCCCTCATGAGGCATATGGTCATGGTCATAAACTCTCTGAGACACCTCCCTCTGGCAGGACCCAACCCTCCCGCCATAAGAGCAGTTCCTCATGACACTGGCTATATCTATATCCACCACCCACCCTAAATCTATATGTTACATTAATGCACATTCCTTGGATTTACCACGCACATTGCAAATATCATTAATGCATTTCACTGTGAACTTGCACATATTTTTCACATTCCTGCCAACTGTACAGCTCTGTATTCATATATTTACATTTTTATTGTTTCAGTTTTATCTTTATATACTGTATGTATAAAGCAAATTCCTTATATGTGAAAACGTACTTGGCAATAAAAGTAGTAGTAAGAAGAAGAGAAGTTCACACTGCTGTCTGTGGTGGTCCTGATAGAGTCCCAAATATAGGCTATAGATTTAACTACAGGACTTGTTTCTCACCAATGTCCAAAAAGTCTTCTCTACTCTGTGATTGATCCAAACCTGTACACGATAACACTGTTGTGCTATTCCTCCTGTCACCAGGAGAAGGGTCTACTACTTTGCAGTGTGGGACAGAAGAGAATAATCATAAAGTAATGTTATTTTCATACCAAAACAAAGGTTTCATAAATATTGTTGATTCTTCTCTTATCTTTAGAAGATGATTATTAAGTTATTATCAGTCCATCCGGACAGTACTTTTAAGACAGGAAGAGGGACATTCCCAACCCCAACTGAAGTTCCACTGAGAAGGAGACAGCAGCCTGCAGGACAGTTCATTGTCATGCACAAAAACCTGCATTATTCCTACAGGAACTCCTCACAGCTGGAACATTTCCCTGAGGGACAAACTGCAGGATTACGCCTGTGATTTATTGAGCTGAGAAAGAGGAAGAGAAACCTCCTGTGTTCATTATTTCATGTTAATGCATTTGTCTTCCATATTTCCAAGGCCATCAGTGCCCTGGCAACCTTCAATTCACTGTTATGTAAGGTAACAATAACTGTCAGATACAGTACTTGAGCCATTTTTTAAGAAGGCAAATGGATGTAATAACGTATAAATGCCATGCGGTGGCAGTGTTGGTCCATAATCTTAAAGGACACAGCCCTCTCAGCCCACAGGACAAAGCAATAGGGTACTGTAGGTGCACACCAACAACGGGATAGAATAGAATTGAATTGAATTGGAAAAACGATCTGTATTACACTAATAATAATAATAATAATAATAATAATAATAATAATAATAATAATAATAATAATAATAATAATAAGGGCAGATAATGACCCCTGTAGCCCTCCTCGAGGCCCCGTGCACCTCATTGTGTGCACCATTTCTATCACTAACTAATGATTTAAGTTCATTTGGGTCGCTCCCCCCTCCTCTCCCCCCTAAACTGCTCCAAATTTGTCCGGCACGTTCCCGCTCGCCGATTGGTCCGCTCTCTGATTGGCCTGAGCTCTGATTGGCTGAAAGTTCCGTTCTCGGACAGTCCGTCGACGCAGTTTGTTTCTCGCCTGCGGCTGAAATTTGGACGGCGCACCGCTGCTGGAGGCAATGTGGATATAGAGTTCAGGTTTTATTTTTGTAGATAATTGTCTGAGCACTTGGGCCAACAGGCGGGGGAGATGTAGATAAAGTTTCTCTCTCTCTCTTTCTTTTCCCGGTTCTGTTAGGGGTCTCGACCGTTTTACATGCGGACTGTCATTCAGAAATACTACAGCCTGCAGTTGGAGCGCTCACGTGTTTGACCTTAGCCGATATATTTTTGATTTTATTTTTATTTTTTTTCTACATTTATTGTCGCTCACTTATAACCCGCTCTGTATGCTTTGTGAAAGTCGACCTCGTTTACTGCAAGTTGGCGTTTTCGGTGACAGACGCGTCTGTTTTTTGTAAATTATACCTGGCTTGAATCACGGATTAATTTATCGAAATTATAACATAACTGGAGAGGAAGGTGTTTATCGGGATAAAGGCATGGTATACGTGCAGGTCTGCAGAGGGTAACAGACTGGATCTCATCACTGCTGGGGATTTTACAGTAAGTCCGACTGTATTAATAAGCCTATTTATATAATGTATCCGAGGGTCTTAATGTTTGTCTGTTGTACTGTATAGTGAGCTTACTGTGATTGTATTATCTCCCCATCACCTTTTTATTTCTTTTTCCTATCACGACACTTAAGTTTTATTTAGTCCTGAGTTTAAAAGTTATATTTTGACTTAAATGTATGTCATATTCTTATTTAATCTGAACAATAGTACTGTACAGGGGTTGTTACTTAAAGTTAACTGTTGATTTTTGTCATATCTGTGAATAACAGAGTGATAACACGTACTTCCCTTTAGTAAATCTATGAAGTAGTTACATGATTTAATAAAGAAACATATCATTTCATCCGGGTTTTCCTTTTAACTGGAATGGAAATGAATGATTTTAAACAAGTGATAATTAGAATTCAAAGGAGCTCCAGTCTGGGATGATCCTAATGCGAGCAGTCACAGGTTGCAGGCTCTCCTCCTTAAAGAAACTTTTACTCCTTAGCTTACAGCCACTTTCAGACCCTCTCTGTATGCTTTTTATTATTAATTTAGGGAATAAAGATTGTTCTCCCAGCAAGATAAGTACACCGCTTATGCAAATAAAGTGTGACTGAACCTGACTTTTGTAGGTTGACAGTATATCAGTTATCCTGCACTTTTAAGTGCATAGCAGTTTCTGGTGAACTGAGGTTGACAGGTACTGATCAAAGATACATGTGAAGTACTGAAATAAGATCTCATAAGGTTCAGGGAAGAATTTATGTGGCGGAAAGATTAAAACCACTGTAAGGAGAGACATATGGACAGGTGGACAGAATAAATCTGTAAGGAAAATCCTGACCAGAAAATCTCTGCTCCTGTGCCATGAACACCTTACTTTTTACAGACAGAATACACTGGATATAAGAGATAAAACATTTTACAAGTTAGTGCTTCTTTCGAACATCTACCTTCAGAAATTTTCATCTGGTAGGTTATGAAACCCTCTACGTAAGAGTTAATAGTGTACACACATCTCTCAGTTTTGTTCAGAGAAACGAGAGAATTTTACTTTATTACTTTGCTTTAGTAAAGAATAACTTTATTATTTTCCATGAAGTTGTTTCTACTTTTGTGTCTTTTAAAATTCAAGGCAGATTTTAACATGGATGCTCACCAGCTGTCAGCCAGTTGGTAGTAAATTATGCTTTAATACCATTGCTCTAGCCGCAACAGTTCATTGAAAAATAAAACCATCAGATTGTGAAATAATGAACGTGGCTGGTGGATTCAAGGGTCAAGGTTCAAGGTTACTTTATTTGTGCCCATGGGTAGATTTGGTTTGCAGTAAAACACAAGGCATTAGACAAACATAATCCATGATAATAATATATAATAATAATATATACTTTATTGTCCTTCACAGGAAATTTGTCACCGCAGTCTGTACATGCATACATAGATACGAAGAACAGAGAAAAACACATATGGACACTGCGACATAACAACAGGAGTAAACACTTAATACAGTACATAATAACATGATAAAGGATAAAGATAAAAAAAAAGTGCTCCAGGTTCTAAGAACCAGGACTTACAGAGAGAGATCAATAAAAAGACCTTAAGATAAATAACCACTTAGAATAAAATTCTGGGAATAAAGACTCTAACGGTGGACAATGCAGCAGTTGTGATAAATTGACGATTCCTGTACAGAAATGTTATATAATAGATTAAAATGTGAAATTATTTCTCAGTATCTATAAGTATTTATCTCATATCACTTCCTTTCAGATCAAAGAGGCTGAAAACTAAACCACAATGGAGCTGCTCTGGGTCTTTCTGGTGCTGGAGATGGTCCTGGTGTCCACTGCTGCCAGGGGTGAGTAACAGAAGCACTGATTTCAACAGAGACTTGGAGCATTGCAGTCGTCAATACCAGCAGTAAGATAATGGCAGGAATCACTGCAGCTGGCAGTACTTGTGAAACAAATTCTTCCAAAGGTTCACCTGGCCTGGAATAAATTTCCTTTTGCATACATGCTGTCACACTGCTGTTTGAAACATGGTGGTACAACTGCTTCGACTGCGGTTTCAGACACTGTCTCATTGAAGCTGAAAGTATGATTGGAGGACATTAATAGTTGCAGGACTGAACCTTCTCCTCTTTCTTTTTCTTTTGTATCACATGTTCTTTAACTTTAACTTTCTGCTTTGTAAACACATTTGTTATAATTTATTGGATCATTCTGAACTGATGCATTTGCTCAGATTCTGAATATGTGCAGATACTTGTCCTGGGGTGAACTTTAATGAATGCTTTGCGCTTTAGATGGTTGGTGAACCTTTGACTTTGACTGGTTATTCAGTTACTGTCGGGTATTCTTGCACTCACCTCGCAGTAGTGTGGTTTTATCTCCTCCTGGTATACTGCGCTGTTGGCTGTAGAGTAAAATGCAGTATCTCTCTTCATTAGAACAACCCCACAGGGAGGTTGGTGGTCAGGGTCAGATACAGAGCAGTACCCTCAGGACTCTGCACGCTACCTTGTTTCTTCAATGAAACAAAACCTAATAAAAAATAAACAACAACAGCTACAGAGGCTGTGCACGGATGACAACGATCCCCGGCCTGCAGGCATTATGGGCAGACGGTCGTGGAGTTGGCGCCCGTTCCAGAGATCACACCGATGATGAGTTTTCAGCAGGAACAAAGCCGCATTCAGCGAGGCGAGGCCGAGCCAGCGTGCAGACACAGGGCCGAAAGTAAACACAGGGCCATAGACCGCAAAGAGATGAGATTAGATTAGCCTATTAGGGATGTTTGCTGTGCAATGCCACAGCATTTCCTCCCCCTCACCGCCTGCAGTCTGTCAATGAAACCAGGGCAGGCAGCACAGAGAGACAGAAAGCGGAGGGGGTAAGGGTGGAAGGGAGAGAAGAGGAGAGACATGCAAAGAAAGAGGGTGAAGGAGAGAAAGGGCGGCCGCAGGACATAGGAAGACTGGAGTAATAATGGATGATGAAAGAGAAATAAGGGAAGCTGGGAAAGGAGAAAGTGAATGAGGGGGGGAAGGAGTGAGGAAAAGGGAAAAATGGACAAGGGAAGGAAACAGATTATAGGAAGGGGTGTGAGAGGAAGGGCAGGAGAGCATCAAGAGGACAGAGGGGACGAAATGCCATCATGAACCTATTAGAAACTAAAGTTCTCCCTTATCTTGTGATTGGTTCGACTCAGGTTGCCTGAAAGATCCTCTCTCCTGGTTAAAGTACAGTATTAGCACTGGAGGAATCTGGCTGAAGCTGCTGTGAAATGAGGTTTATATGCAACCCAATTTTATTTTTATTATTTCACACCTTGATGTATTCTGTTATTGTGTGTGTAACACTGACTGGAGTTTGAAAAGGCAGCTGAGAGACATCTATATGTGATGAGAGGGATTCCAGGTTTTGGTGGCCCCGTGGTCTGAGGTTCATGCCATGTAATTGGGAATTTGTGGTTTTGAACTTGAGTAATGCAGCTTGTCATCTGTTCTCTGTCTGTAAACATCCCCTGTTTACAACGTGTGGTATAATATTCAAAACAGAAGCACTGTCTGAACCATGGAGCAAAAAAATGCTGTAACGTGCAGATTTTCAACAAGTTCAAGTTCTTTTAAACCAGAGTTAGCGATCTTGCAAATTTTAAGGCAAAATTTACCTGCAGCTTCATCCAATCCATGGATTATTTTTGCTTTTTTTTTTACAGTCCAACATGTAGTTATGTTATTGCCAATGTAATATGATTTCCACTGACATTTTTTTCTCCGTCAGAGCTGAGCAAACAGCTGAAAATGTTAAATGCTTCTTGAAAAATTGCGCACAAATTACAGAAATTGCATTGCAATTTTTTTAGAAAGGCAGATGCTAATACATTCAGTTTTTCTCCACAACAGTTAAACAACAGAATGTGAGATCCTGGTGACAGTTTGACTTTTAGCTGTTGTGAGAGTTGCCAAAAACAACCACAGCAATCTACCATTGGCTACTGAGCAGTGCAGATAGGAGTTAAGGACAATAAGTGTCGAGGAACAAAACAGAAACTCTATTTTACCCCAGAAGTGGTAGTTCAGGCCCTTATTGGATCACTTCCTGCAACTATATTTGACTTTTTGCATCAGTGTCAACACATAAACAACTGATTCAGAACTGTTTGGTTTATAAATGAATAATGAAAAATAAGACAAACTCATAATTACAATTCCAGTCCTTTAGTACAAAAATCTATTAAATTTGATAGAAACGATAGAGGAAAAGCTTCCTCCGACTGCCCGCCCTTGTCGCATTCTCCACTGCACTCGAAGTGACTCAGAGAAACATTTTTATTACTTACTTGGTGACTCCTGAGATGTCCCAGAGAAATATGCATACCAGAGGTGGGTTACTAAGGGCAACGGTATAAACAATGAACAATAAAAAGCAAAAATATCATAGGACACATCATGACATTTGAAATGAAAAAACATGATGATGATCTTTTGTAGCCTAATCTGTTTGGGCAGTCCCCTTTCACACACAAGGTTCAGTTACAGTAAATATAACTGCTATAATACAGTCTGGCTGACTGTAGTAAAGAAACAGCTGAATGAAAACACAGCCATGAATTGAAATAAAGAGAACAAAATCATTCCTTTCATGGCAAATAAATAGATCCCAGAAAGCCCAAATAGTTGTAATGACTGTTATTGGTAGTTACTTTTTCCTGGCTGTCCTTGGAGTTGGTGGGGCCTGACCATCAGATGACACTGAAGGCAGGAAGCAGGAACATTTGAGTAGCTAATGGCCTTGCTGGATTCTGCAACAGACAGAGGAGGAGAAAAATTAGAAGATGGAACAGTACAGTAAAAAAGGAAAAGAGATACAGATACAGATGAAGATAGAATAAGCGAGGAAAAAGGTAGCCAAAGACAAAGAACAGATGGGGGAAGACAGTGAAAGAAAGACAGACAAAGATAAGCCCAGACGTAGAGACAGAAAGAGATAAGGAAGCAACATTTCTGCTCTTTTTGCAGCAGATGTAGAGTCGTATAAACTGCACTGCAGGCTTACACAACCACACTGTTTGAACCAGTGTCTGGACCTCTGTGTGTGTGTTTGTGTAGCTGAGCATGAGACTGAGCAGCTGAGAGATTAGTATTCTCCCCTGTTAGCTGAACAACACTGAGCTTGAATACAGGGGTCAAAGAATTGTAGGTAGGCCAATGCATTCTGGGCTACCTGCAGCTCTAGACAGAGTTAGGTTCAAGTGCGAACAATGGAAAGAAAAGGTCCATCCTAAAATACTTTTTACACTGTTAACAGAGCAATTTGACATTTTAAGAAATATGTGTTTTTGTTTTCTTGTCAAGAGTTACACAAGAGGATCAGGGGATAATAAATTCACCGTGGGACATATCGGCAGTTATGTGTGGGACTTTTTTGACTAGTTAACTTCCAGTAACTTCCTAGATTCTCCACTGTTTGCCTGGAAACCTTAGCCTGGCAAACAGAAATGAACCTCTCAGTTCATTTTCCAGAGCAACAAAACTATCTCAGCACCTTCCAATTATTTGGGGATTTCTAAATGCAAGATAGTAGCACTTTGGTCAACTTTGGTTGTTTTTAAAGTGCTTAACAAATAAAGTTGGATTGGATTGGATTGGATTGAATGGTGGTATGAATGGCCCCTAAAAAACTACGCCCCTTACTTCAAGAAAACGCCTTACCTGATGTCACGACCTGGCTCAAAAGCCATGAAAAAAAGAGGGAGGTGCCAGTTAAAGGCAAATAATAATGTTTATTATTGTAGTTCTGACCTTCTGGATGTGTGGAAGCAAGCTTCATCACAACATCACCTGACAATCCAAGTTCAGATTTGGCTCGTATTCCGTTGACACTGCCTTGGTAGACGTCACACATCATGCCAGAGATTCCAGTTCTCACCCACACTTTGAATTCCCATAGGTTTGGCTTGCCTTGCATATATTGCTTGATGCTGCTGAATTTCCCCTTGATAGGATACTTTCATACTGCCTTGACAGCTTGTTATGCTCTCTACTTATCATGCTAAAAGAAATATGCATCCCAATCACCAGCCATATAGTCACACAATACTGCCTTGACATAACAATAATGCATGTTGTGCTCTCTAATTATCATACTAAAAGGAAAACATGCATACCCCCACTTATATCCACACCCCACATTCAGGAACATTTTCACCGTTCCCAGAACTGAATTGTCTGTTGATATCCTCTTTGTGGACAAAGTCATAGAGTTTTAGGTCAGTCTGGTCAAATTAACTACATTTTTTAGAGATAAAACTTTTAAATCAGTCAAATTTGACCAGAACACAACACAAGGGTAGAATGTATACTGTTCATGTATAAAGAAAATACTCTGTTTCAGGCAGTGGTGTAGTGGAGGGAATGCAACCTGTTTGGGCCCACTGCAACAAGCCTGCTATTTTGACTACCACACTCACCCAGTGTTGTAGAATTGCAACAAATATATAACAAGCTCTAAATGAAATTTGATGAATCTATTCCACAATAACTACCTATGTACATGCTCTGGACATTGTAATAACAACCCAAAAAAATTTAAAAGACATTTTACTTACTTGAATCTGATGAATCTAGTCCAATGAAACAAAGAGATGTTGTTCGAAGGAAACCTTGAGAGGTTGAGTGAGTTCATGGCCATAAGGCGGGACTTATAAACAAATGTACCATCCAATAGCATTGTGAGACTGAACAATAGGACCCAATGACTATGTAAAAAAGGTAACGTTGTAATTTTACAACAAGGGGTGTTACAGGGTTAAACAAAGATGATAATAGCAACCCAAAATGGACAAAGGATACGATGAGGAGTGTTTATCACCCCGTTCTATGCCATAATGAAACAGACTGGAGCTATAGCCAATTATTTGTAACATGGAGAGAGCTGTTTAAAACATTGAAAATGGATGTCCTGAGCAACATTATATGGTATGACAGTGTTTACAAGCACACAACTTCTGCATGTCAACGCCCTTGAGACTTTTGGATTGGTTCTGCAATGCAAGTTTTTTCTGAAACTCTAATAGTTTCCACCCAGTTTTAAGTTCTCAGTCTCTATTGAGTGAAGCGTTTAGAGACTTGAGACTTGTGAGTCTGTGTTTCCCTCCTTTTCTAGTCTTTAAGCTAAGCTAAGCTAACTGTCTTTTGACTGTATCTTTAGACAGTTTTGAGAGTGGTATCGATATTGTCCTTTAACTCTCCTACTGTATGTATTCTTTTAAAAACGAGGACAGGACAGGGCATTCCTGAGTCCATTTTGTTGTGTGGTAGTTTTTCCTCCTGGCCGAATGTAGATGAAGTAATACTACATTAATATTTCCACTGGAGCTGCAAGTAAAATAGTTATAGCTTCCTTTTACACCATTCTTCTCTAGCATTTAACAATCTAACAAGAGAAACCCATTTTAGTAGAGCAGATGTTGCATTTTGAGAAAGTGTCTTTAATAGAAAAACGTACATAAACTGCTCTGTTGCTTTCTTGGGGCTGATGATGAGGCAGGTGATGAAGAGTATATTAAAGAAACATTAGACATCTGCGCTGAACAGTTGAAACATTTGTTTATTTGTTCATATGTGCATGCCTGTGTTTCTGCATACCTTTGTGCACACACACACATACACATACCTTAATCGTGCATGTGATGTGAAAAGCCATGTGTATGTCAGATGGTTTTTAGCATGTCAGATGGTATTTACATAAGCCAGCTGTTAGACACTTCACGGTCAAACAACTGGAGCAGGACAGAGGTACTACTACTAATAATAATAATAATGTGATAGTTACCCCAGCAGAGATTTAAAAAATGTACAAATTTTTATTTGCCTATACCTGTGGTGTTGAAATGACCTACAGTGTGTATCATCACATCATATTCTGCTCCAACCCTTTAAAGAAAGGAAAGCATATACCAAGAAATTGGATGACGAGTGTGGGTTTGTGTACATTGTTTCCTGATGCACCGTTCTGTCTAAACAATTTAATGTTTCCCGGGTGATTGTGCCGTATCGACCACCCGCTATCCAGAGGGACGGAGAGGAAAAACAGAGATGGGAGAGATTTATAGTTAACATCAAGTGAATTAAAAATGCATCTTCATTGTATTGTAGCTGCCAAAACGGAGACGCAACAGAGCAGGAGGAGAGAGCATCGTCATTGCAGACAAAGACAGGCAGACAGTGTAAACAGCCGAATACACAGATGCTGAAAATGTACACAACTGTGCACAACTAGAAGACACTACCCATAAATATGACTTAACACATGTAAGCACACACACAGCCCACAATCACTTAACAACCTCCTGTCCCACACACTCATTACTGAGGAATGTAATTAGCATGCTAACACTAACAATGATACATAGGAGAGAATTGCGGTTAGGTGAAAAGGACTGGAGGAGGAGGAGGAGGAGGAGGAGGAAGCATGCAGTCCCCGGAGAAGAAAGCAGTGGAGCAACTAACAGAGCTTTAAACTTTTGGAAAAGTATGAAATGTTATTCTAGCTTGCTTCTTGGAAGACAGCCTGATTCAGGGCGGAAACTTACGATTAATCTGCTGATTATTTCCTTGAATAATTCATCAATAAAATGTCAGAAAATAGTGGAAAATGTTTCCAGTTTTCCGCTGTCCAAGCTGAGGTCTTCAAATGTCTATTCTTGTCTGACCAACACTCAATTTAGATAGATGTGTTATTTACCTGCCTACCTGGTAAATGGTCTGGGAATTTAACTTGCAGGGCTACAAAAGTAGTGCCGTCTTTAGTATTATGAAGGCTCCATCACTGAATATTGAAATTTGGTGATGCATTTGATCATGAATGCATCACCAGTATGGAAAGCACTGGTTGCAAAGGCCACCATGTAACAGTAAGTTATAGAAGTCCAATGAGTAAAAAGGGTTCTTCTTTAATTATTCATATAAATCATATAAACTACACCCATACTGTTGTGTATTTTGCCACACACTGTGTTTCAAATGAAAGCCTGCTAAAGTAAGCACTGATTAACTGATGTCATAAAACACATTGTGTTTGTTGTGGTAGGCATCTGCCTGTCTGTTCATGAGAAGAATGGAGGAGGAGGAGGAGGAGGAGAGCATCTTGATTCCTCATAGAGTAAATAACTGCATACCACAGACAGATGCTTCAAACACACAACTTTACCTCATTGTAAACAGACACACTCATACTCTCACATCAGTAAATCCCCTCCACCCCGCTTCTGTTTTTTAAGCATGCAACGTGTCCTAAGTCGCAGCTAACTATCGTAAATACCATTTGACATGCTGACAGCCATTATATGGCCTGATGGTGGTGGTGGGCATCTGCCTGCCAGCCTCAGTGTTTGCAGTTGAACCACTGGATCCAGACTACCATAGAGGGTTGAAACTATCATCAGCATCCACGGATGAGTGCACTTTCTTTAGCACGGGACCAAAATGTATTAATATTTTTCAGTTAGGGAAGAACATTTTAAGCCTGTGCCAATTTTTACACTTTGTGCCAGCCCATTAAATTGTGGCTGCTTAAGGTGGAAAGCTAAAAAGGCCTAGGAAGTGATTTGGGTCTCATTTTATCATTCATGATGATTTTGTCCTTTATATAAGAGAAAAGTGACATCTATTGCATGTTTGTGTTCATTGATTACATGGTGATTAACAGACAAAGGGAAGCTTCAAAGGGCACAAATGACTCTCTGAGTTCCTCTTGTTAAATCCTAATGTCGGGGCCAAATGTTGTCTTATTGGCTGTTTGTACAAGTAGAGCTGTCGCTCCCAGGAAAAAGTCCAAATAAGACTTTTCTTCCATTGTCTATTGTAAATATTTTATTTTAGAAGTTTGGGAGTATTTGTAGACTTGACATAACCTATACAAACAGTCTACCTATACAGTCTAGAGTGAGATGTCTATAACACATTATATACACACATCACTGTCTGTGTTTTGTGCTCCCAAAGAAATTAACCAGCACAGACATGAACGGGACCTTAAGAGGCAGCCTCTCTCCCCCACACCCCACTGTTCTCCTTAGAGTTTTACAGGGCCTGTTAATGTTAGAGGCTATTAGCCCACATTTAGATAAAGTCAATGTTTGCTTTGACTTTGCTAATGGTGGGGTAGTATTGGGGCTGTCTGGACGTTCTCTCTGGGGGTTGATGGAGTGTCTCAGTGATGTGAAGATGTGATGTGTGTTTGTGGAGGGGGTGCAGCAGGGAGAAGAGCTACAGGAGAAGATAAGATAGCAAAAGAAGGCTTTGTGGAGAGAAACAGTGACAGACAAAGAAAGAAATGACCCCTTAACATTCCCCTTCCCCCCAAAAAACATCCTATACCACAGTATCTGACAGTAGCACATATTCTGTATCAGCCGGATTTAACTCTTCATTTAAGTTATAATTAAGTAAACTTTGGGACCTCCTTTAGAATAAATAGCAATGGCACAGCATGAGTTTGTACTAAAAATGTACAGGGTTAGTTTAAGTTAAAGGATATCTGACAGAAAAAAATAATAAAAACACAGATTGGGAGAAACAGTTGTTATAACTATACTGCACAGCATACATGCGTACCACAGTATGTAAAGAGAAAGTTACGTTTTTGAGCTCATAGTTGTAGAGGTTGAGTTTTTGTCACCAGGAAGGTGGACGGGTATGTCTGAGTTTGCTCTGTATGTTAATATTCTGTATTCATCCATTTCTCATTTCTCCTCATCTTGTAGCACACAACATGATGTTGGATTTTACTAAGATTGGACATTCGGCATTGCAGTTGTATTTGCAGACATCTTCACATATTTCAGAGTTTCTCTCTGTGTTCTTTCTCTTACTCTCTTTCTTCCCCAGCTTCTCTGTCTCTCATAGTGCAGTATTGTGTGGATCGTGGCGCCACAGTGCTGTATTGTGGTCTCAGTGGGGTTGGGGTATGTTTGGTCAACGCTACAGCACTGTGGGTCAAAGGTCAGCCAGTAGAGCAGGGATGGGGTCAGGGAGAGTGTGTGTGTGTGTGTGTGTGTGTGTGTGTGTGTGTGTGTGTGTGTGTGTGTGTGTGTGTGTGTGTGTGTGTGTCTATGTATGTATGTAAGGTAGGGTCAGAGAAAACACATGCCAGCACCAGAGGAGACTGTAATAACACACCAGGAACCCCACAGGACAACACACACTCTGCTTTCACTACTTTATCTCCTCTCTGTCTCAGTTCACTAACCTTATTGACGTGTAAGTCAGAAACAAACATTAATTTATACATTCAACCCAACTGCTATGAAGATAATGAAGTGAAGCGAAATGAAGTGTTCCCTGCAGTGTAATTTTTAGGGTTAAATGTTTTTTGCAATAATGTCAGTCAGTTTGGTATAATTTATTGAATTATTCATGAAAGTATGTTTTACATCAGCGAATGTCAGTGGAGTTTGTGTATCCCTGCCTCAGATATCCAGTTCTCTATACCATGAGGTAATATAGCTTCCCAGCTTGGCTATCTCTTCAATGCACAAAACGTGTTACATATGTTCACCATGTTAATGTTATTTGGTGGCAGAATGTCTTTTTATGGTTCACCACATCCGAGTCCGTAAGCAGATTCCATTAAAGTTCACTCAAACTACACAAAAACAA